TGACCTTTTATATTATCATATATGTGCCGTTTGGTGTATTTGGCTATCTGGTGCCTCTTCTCATCTACTTCTGCTGCGTTCCAAGTCTATTATATTTGTTCAGCGAGATCACCGCCAAATCCAATATGTCCAGTAATAATGAAGTTCTTAAAGTTGAACAGAAATAAAGTTGCAGATTTTCTGCATGTTCGAAAATGAGTAGTGATAGGGTTTCACCTCCCTCCTCGGTCGAGGTGCGGCTAATAAAAATCAGCTGCTTCCTTCATCCTGTCCTTTCCATTAGATACCATCCGTTGACGGAATTTTCACGTGGTGAGCGCTTGGGAGCAAGCAGCTTTTTTACGGCGCCCAACTTTCGGTGAAAATGGGGCAACATTGTCCCTTTAGGTGCTGTTCTACCGAGTTTCTGAATTTTGCGATGTACCGTACATAATCGCACTTTCAAGAATTCATATTTCGTAATATTATTCCATCACGCTGCGACGCTGACGCCCGTGTCATACAGGACTGCGGCAATATTTGGTAAAAAGCCAGATGTGTCCTCCTTGACTAACGCAGGGTTACTGAATGTAAGTCGACAACACGGTGACTCTGAAAGAGTTTCTATTCAGAAATGCACTAATTTTTCCGCATCATAGCTTGTGTACGGGGAAAAACGTGGCTGGCTGTGGAGTACCCTTCCAGTTATGGCAAAGGTGCTGTGTTGAAAATACAAAACATGCTGAGGCTGTTCCATAGTTTTTGGGAATCGTTACATATCTGAGTGCTGATTATATAGTGTCGGCCACTCATTCCCTGAGCCCTGCCTCTCCGACAACTTGGCTCTTTTGCTTCACAAGAATAGCAAAACGAACGTAATAAAAGCACTCGTTCTGAAATTAATTCACTAGAAAGAGTGTGGGAAGTCTAGATTCTCGCATAAAAATGCAACAAATGTTGGCGACAGGGAGCCATCAAAGACGTCGAGAACGCAAACATAAACCGCATTCACGTTGGACCTCCCAGAAACTCGAACGTGGCTCCGCACTTTCCATGTACCTCGGCGCAACAGCACTTAGGGTCTCTCCTACCATGGCACGTGCAGTCCAGCAGAATGGCTACCCCAGGAACTATTTTTCCAAACGAATGCATTCTTTCCGCTCATAACTTCGTACATGATCTTCGATACATATACTATACACAATATATTCAAGAGAGATTAGTGGACTGCTTCCACGAGGGAAATTCCCTTAATAAAAAATTTACAACTTGGTAATGAGCAAATGTGGAGATCGGGACCAGATCGAATGATGAGAAGGTCACGAGAGAATGATCGCGAGGGGAATTTCCCGCCGGAGGTCAAGAGGACCAAGAGTTCCCTATAAAAGGCAGTGCATCTTCTGAAGTCGTCTTCCTCTGGTCTCCGGCGGTGCGGGCATCGGGCCCGCCAGAAGTCTTCTCGTCAGAAACCTCCACCTCCCCAACGACTACTCCAGCAGCCGCCGTTCGCCCTATTCAAGGACCCCCTCAACTGGACGACTTCTACTCGTCAACCCCCTTCTATTCTCACACCATTCTGTTAATTTCTGTTCATTTATTGTTTTGTTCACAATAAACTCTGTTCTCTTTGGGTGTTTACTTCAGACTTACGTGGACGTATACGGGCCTCAAACGCTACACAATCCTGCAAGACAGGAAAATTGACGTAGAATAGTAGTCTTAAAGTTCTCACAGCATCATGAAATAGATCCCGCTGAAAGTAAACAAAGTGTCTTCAAGTGTAGAGCCTTTCCTACAAATCCTAAAAATCAGTTTCAAGTAGTGTCCGTCCGTAAATAATGAAAAGAGGGTAGTGCATGGAGGAATGAAGGGCACTGTGTGGGTGGAGGTGCCCTTCATTCCTCCTAAGCCTTTCGCTACAGTGCCTGCGATCCTTAGGCTCGAGTTGAAATTACATCGCCACGCATTTGCAAATGTGGTGAAGATCAAAACTTTGCGCTGCCCAACTTCAACGGATCATGAAGCAGAACAATTATTACTAATCGTACTGGATTTGGCGGTGGTCTAGCTGAACATACATAACACGCAATATATTTGGATGTGGCAAAAATTTTTAGTGGTGGTTGAGAAGAGACACCAGATAGTCAACTACACCAAAAATCACATAAATGATAATATAAAAGGTCAGCGAATTGTGCACACGACATCCTGCAGGAACCAGTATCTCTTCTACGTGCTCATCGCTCTCATGCTCCTCAGCACCTTTACTCAAGCAGATATTGAAAATGTACGTTCCGAAGGTTTAAAGCCTTCATGTAGGTATCCAGCTATATCTTTGCTCTTGTTTTGAATGAAATCGCCTCTCAGGAGTGCAAGGATCGCCACAATCCTACGACCTGCGCCAACTACGTGAACTGGGGCTGGTGCACCTCAACTGATCCTGGCAGAATTGGTCTTGCGAAAGCTAACTGCAAGAAGACATGTAACCTTTGTTGAAAGCAACATGTACGAAATAAATTTTCCCAATAAAATTTTTAAATGCGTTCTATGACTAGTGGAAGCCATCGAT